ACCTGGAGCTGATCAGCCCGCGCGACATGAGCGATCTCCTGCAGTGGAACCGCACAATCCCCGAAGCCACCGAGGATTGCGTCCACAACCTCATCGCCAAGAACACCATGGTGAATCCGACCGCCCCGGCCGTGTGCGCGTGGGATGGCAACCTCACCTACGCCGAGCTCGACAACATCTCCTCGAAGCTCGCCGCCCACCTCATGAACGCCGGGGTCGGGCCCGAGGTGTTTGTGCCGCTGTGCTTCGAGAAGTCCATGTGGACGATCGTCGCCATGCTGGCGACCATGAAAGCGGGCGGCGCGTTCGTGCCTATGGACGCGTCGCAGCCGTCCAGCCGCATGCAGCTGGTCGTCCGGGAGGTCAACGCGCATGTGATGCTGTGCTCGGAGGAGCAGCTGGGCCGGTGCCCGGGGCTCGTCGAGAAGGCGATCGCCGTCGGGCCGGGGATGGCCCAGGCGTCGATGCCCCAGATGTCGCAGACGCCCGTGGCGCCGTCCAACGCCGCGTACGTGATCTTCACCTCGGGCAGCACGGGCACGCCCAAGGGGTCGGTGGTGGAGCACCGCGCCTTCTGTACGGGCGCGCTCGCCCACAAGGAAGGGCTGCAGATGGGGCGGCGCGTGCTGCAGTTTGCGTCGTACACGTTCGATGCGAGCGTGCTGGAGATCCTGTCGACGCTGGTGCAGGGCGGCTGCGTGTGCGTGCCCTCGGAGGCCGAGCGCCGCGGCAACATCGCCGAGGCCATGACGCGCATGAACGTTGACTGGGCGGTGCTGACCCCCTCCTTCGTCAGCACGATCGACCCGGCCACCGTGCCCACCCTGGAGACCCTGTGTCTGGCCGGCGAGGCCATGACCGCCACTCACGTGGCCACCTGGACCCCCTATGTCCGCCTCGTCAACGGCTACGGCCCCAGCGAGTGCTGCGTCTGCAGCTCGTCCAACCGCCGCGTCGTGCCCGGCACCGCGCCCAACGACATCGGCACCGCCGTCGGCGGCGCCTGCTGGGTGACCGACCGCGACGACCACAACAAGCTGGTCCCCGTGGGCTGCATCGGCGAGCTGCTGGTCGAGGGCCACACGCTGGCGCGCCACTACCTCAGGAACGCGGAGAAGACCGCCGCAGCGTTCATTCCGCGGCCCGCCTGGCTGCCCTGGTCGCGCTGCGATCGGCTGTACAAGACGGGCGATCTCGTCAAGTACAGCGCGGACGGGTCGCTGCAGTTCATCGGCCGCAAGGACACGCAGGTCAAGATCCGCGGGCAGCGCGTCGAGCTCGGTGAGATCGAGTACCACCTCTGCCTGCCGGCCGCGGTCTCGCAGGCGATCGTCTCGTACCCCAAGAAGGGGATCTACGCCAACAAGCTCATCGCCGCGCTCGAGCTGACCGCCACCAGCGGTGACAAGCTAGCCCCGGTCGCCCCGGTCACCCTCCAGGAGGCCGGCTTCGATCTGCCTGCGCTCTCCCAGTCCATGAGCGAGACGCTGCCCGCGCACATGGTGCCCGTGATCTGGATCGTGGTTGAGAAGATCCCCAGCTCGTCATCGACGAAGATCGACCGCAAGGCGGTGGACACGTGGCTTGCGCAGCTGCCGGCGGACTTCGCGCCGACGATGGGGCTGAAACGCAACGAGCCCACCGTGTCCACGCTGCGGCCGGACGAGGGCAAGGCGCTGGCGATCAGCAGCAAGATCGCTAGCCTAGTCAGCCGCGACGACAGCAGCAGCAGCAGCAGCAGCATGCCGCTCCAGGGCCACGACTTCAACATCGCCTCTATGGGCATCGACTCGGTGCAGGTCATCAGCCTGGCCAGCTTCATCAAGCAGACCTACGGCGTCAAGGTCGACGTCTCGCGCATCCTGGACGGGCAGATGACCGTGCGCTCGCTGGCCGCCCTCCTCGATGCCGAGCTCGCCGGCACCGCCCCGGCCACCGTATCCCCGGCCTCCACTTTTGATGCCATGAAGGAAGCCACCGCGCTCATGAAGTCGATCATCACGCGCAGCCCCGTCAAGAAGACCGTCTTCGTGACCGGCGTCACGGGCTTCCTGGGCACGCAGATCCTGCGCCAGCTGTGCGATCGCCCGGACGTCGGACGCGTCATCGCGCACGTGCGCGCCGCGACGCCCTCCGAGGCGTTCATCCGCGTCAAGGACGCCGCGGTGCGCGCGCAGTGGTGGTCGGACTACTACCTGACCAAGCTGGACGTGTGGGCGGGCAACCTGGCGCAGCCACGACTAGGCCTGAAGGCCAAGCAATGGGCCTCGCTCACGGGCGAGAGCCCCAACGAGGGCGGACTGGTGCACGCGATCATCCACGCGGGGGCGGCGGTGAACTGGAACGCGGGGACGGAGGTGCTGCGCGCGGCCAACGTGGACTCGACGGCGGAGCTGATCAAGGCGGCGGTCAGCTCGCCGGCGCGGCCGCGGCTGGTCTACGTCTCCGGGGGTCACCGGTGGCACCCGGACGAGGACGACCGGGAGATCGCGGCGGAGGTGGCGCACGCGAACGGGTACGCGCAGACCAAGTACCTGTCGGAGCTGCTGGTGAAGCAGTTCGCGGCGCGGTACGCGAGCCAGTTCGCGATCGTCAAGCCGGGGCTGATCCTGGGCACGCCGGAGGAGGGCGTGGCCAACACGGACGACTTCGTGTGGCGGCTGGCGTCGGCGGTGGTGGACGCGCGCTGCTACAGCCGCGACGTCGGCGAGTCCTCCTGGATGTTCGTCACGAGCAGCACCCGTGTCGCCGAGGAGACCATCCACCAGGCCTTCTGCCCCGCCGACGCCATGCGCACCGTCACCTTTATGACCGACGGCATCACCGAGCGCGAGTTCTGGGACATCTTCCACCACGAGCTCCAGTACCCGCTCCGCGCCGTCGACCATGCCACCTACCTCGACACCCTGCAGCAGGCGATCCAGCGCGACGCCACGGGCCATCCGCTGTGGCCGGTGATGCAGGTCTTCGAGGCGATTGACGGCCGGCTCGGCGGCGGGGATGTGCTGCCCGATGCGAGTGTGGTGACTCCCTCGCAGCGCCAGCATGTCAAGGCTACCGTTCGCCGGAATGTGCAGTTCTTGGTGGACGCGGGCTTTATTGCTAGTCCCACGGGCAAAAAAATGCGGTATATGGCGGAGAAGGTGTTCCAGCGGTCGGGCAATGTGTGGGAGAATGTCAAGGGGATGGTTAATGGACTAGCTTAAAATGACAGTCCTATAGGATGGACTGGCTGAGGCTGTAGTGCTTAGTGTTTTGTATAATAGCGTAATGTCTGGAGTATTGGGTAATTGGGATCTGTTTAGGCTAGCATCCAATGTGATTTGCTCGTTCATCTATCGTCCTTCGTCAATAATCCCACTACATAATCAGACTAGACTTGAGCAGCAGCAGCAGGTGGAGCATGAACCTCGATCAAGGTGCGAATTCAACTACTCTCGCATAAATCAGCCGATCCATCGATGGGTAGCGTTGAATCTCGCCGATCAGGGCTAAGCAGGAGAAGGGAGGGTATAAGAAGGCGCATGTCCCCAGCCTGTCTCTTGTTCTTTTTCCTCTCTCACCCAATCGCCCAGCCCTAACTCCTCCTTCCTTCTCACCACCACCACCACCCCCACAACCATCCATCTATATCTCAACCAATCCTCCCACACAACACACCACCACCCTTTCATCACAAACAAACACCAACACAAACAAAATGGACATGTTCGCCCCCGCGCCCCCTCCTCCCACCGCCCTAGGCCGGTACCGCACGCTCTCCTCGACCGCCGGCATCCGGGTCTCGCCCTTCCAACTCGGCGCGATGTCCATCGGCACCGCCTGGTCCGGCGGACTGGGCTCAATGACCAAAGAAGCCAGCTTCGCGCTGCTAGACGCCTACCTCGCGGCCGGGGGCAACTTCATCGACACGGCGAACAACTACCAGAACGAGGAGTCGGAGCGGTGGATCGGGGAGTGGATGGCCCTGCGCGGGGTGCGCGACCACCTGGTGGTAGCGACCAAGTACACGGGGCTGTACAAGCCGCCCAACCCTGCGCCTACCCCCGCCTCCTCCTCCCCCTCCCCCTCCGGCCCACAAAACACCACGGAGAGCAGCTACCACCCCTCCTACCCGAAGATCAACTTCGCCGGCAACCACCGGCGCAGCCTGCACCTGAGCGTGCACGACTCGCTGGCCAAGCTGCAGACCAGCTACCTGGACATCCTGTACGTGCACTGGTGGGACAGCACCACCTCCATCGAGGAGGTGATGGACAGCCTGCACATGCTGGTGCAGCAGGGCAAGGTGCTGTACCTGGGGATCTGCAACGCGCCGGCCTGGGTGGTCAGCGCGGCCAACACGTACGCGCGCCTGCAGGGCAAGACGCAGTTCAGCATCTACCAGGGGCGGTGGAACGTGCTGCACCGCGACTTGGAGCGCGAGGTGATCCCCATGGCGCGCCGGTTCGGGATGGCCGTCGCGCCGTGGGATGTGCTCGGCGGGGGCAAGTTCCAGTCGCCCCAGGCCATGGCCGCGCGGAGGGAGAATGGGGAGGGGCTGCGCAGGATGATGGGGAGCGGGGAGCAGAGCGAGGATGAGGTGCGGATGAGCGAGGCGCTGGGCAAGGTGGCGGCCGAGGTGGGGATCGAGTCGGTGACCGCCGTCGCGTTGGCGTATGTGCTGGCCAAACATCCGAATGTGTTTCCCGTGGTCGGCGGGCGGAAGATCGAGCATCTCAGGGATAATATCCAGGCGTTGGAGGTGAGGTTGTCCGAGGAGCAGATCCGGTTTTTAGAGGGGGTCAAGCCGTTGGAGTTGGGGTTTCCGCAGAATATGCTGGGCGAGGAACCGGGGGTTACGGGGAGGGAGGGCATGTCCCTCGCTAATGCGGGGGTGGTTGATTTTGTCAAGTTTGAGAGGCCGGTGGGGTATTCTTGAGCTTGGGGGACGGTATATTGTTTGTTGGGGGTGTCTTGATTGCTGGAAAGGCACAGTGTGTATCATAAAGGTGATCATGCTAGTATACATAAATGAATTCGTCATTCTCGCGGTCCGTCAAGTCCATCAGCCCCTGCTGCCCGGTCTCCTCCGTCGTCGCTGGCGCGCCATCGCCCTCGTTCTGTGCGCCGCTCCGCATCGACAGATCCTGCAGCTTGGCCGGCTTGCCATTCTTCACGCGCCGTTTCTCCTGCATGCGGTTCAGCACCACCAGATTCGCCCACTGCATCAGCGTGACCCCCACCAACGCCACAAAGATGCCCAGGCACGCCTTCAACCCCGGCCGATACGTCGGAGCATCCTTGGCATCAAAAAGCAAGGGCCCGATGATGTTGCCCGACGAGGTGGCAGCATTGAACAAACTCATGCAGACACTCTGCTTCGTCGTGCCACCGGTGTTGGAGACAATCCACGCCACGATCAAGGGATTGCCCCCGAACAAGAACGCCAGCAGGTAGAAGCCCGCCATGAGCGCCCCGTTGGCACTGCTATCCCGAGGCAGCGCATACAGCATCGCCAGCCCGGCGACCACAGGCAGCACCAGCGCCGCCAGGATGACCCCCTTCATGCTCGCCTTCTGGGCCAGGTAGCTCGCCAGCAGGATGATGATCACCTGCACCGCGCCGAAGGGCATGTTCAGCAGCGTCACATGGTCTGTCCCGAACCCCAGCCCCTTCAGGATCAGCGGGCCGAAGACGTTGGTCACCGAGGCCCCGATGTTGAGGAGCAGCGCCAGCCCGATCCACAGGTAGGTCTTGGGCTCCAGCACCGCTTCCACCAGGTGGCTCATCTTGTACTCCCGGGTGCCCGTGCCGGTCTGATTGGCGCGCAGTCGCTCGACAGCTTGTTCCTTCTCGCTCTCGGTGAGGAAGCGGGCCGTCTCGATGTCGTTGTCGAGGCGCCAGTAGATGATCGGGCTGGTGACGATGGTGAGGAGGCCGACGAACAGGAAGATGCTGTCCGTAAAAGGTTATTAGCATTGCTACTTGGATGCACTGGATACAGGAGGAGAACTCACATCTGCCATCCCTTCAAGGCATCGGACTTGATCTGACTCAATCCGTAGGACAGCGCAGCTGCGATGATGGTTGCCCAGCCGTTGGTGGAGTAAAAGGCCGCCACGCGGATCGGCTGCTCAGCCCGGCGATACCATCGAGCCACTAGAATGGAGAACAGCGGTAGACAGCCAGCCTCGAATAGTCCAAGAAAGAATCGCGCCGCGAGGAGTTGGCTGAAGTTGTGGCAGGCGGCCATGCAGGTCTGAGCGATGCCCCAGCCGAGACACAGACTGGGCATGAGGATCCGGGGTCGGACCTTGACGATGACTAGGGTGGTTAGCTATTACTCCCCCAGTCCTTGGTCGTTGTACTCACGCCAGGAAGAACATGGCTGCCAGGCCAGCTGGGCGATGGGAGCGATCGACCCGATCAGCGAGTACTGGTTGCCCGTGAGGTGCGTGTCCTCGGTCATACCGTAGGTGGCCCCGAACCCCAGGACGGTCTTATCCAGAATCTGCAGGAAATACACCCATACCAGGATGGTCAGGATGGCCCAGTCGGTTTTGCGTTTGATCCTCTGGCCATCCTCTTCGGTCAGGGGGATGCGCGGACGAGGAACGGGGTCAAAGTCGGGAGATGCAGAGTCAGAGCCCTCGATGTGAAGAGCAGCAGGCTTAATGTCATTGTCCATGATGTCGGATGGAAGTATGGATGAGAGAGAAATCTGGGGAAGGGTGGGGAGGGGAGAGATCTACCCCATATAACACCGACAAATGCGGGGGAAATGCTAGTGCATTCAACAAGGTGCCACCCCCACGGACCTGATGAGCTGGTGGTACGACAGGAGCCCTTGCCGGTTTGCAGCAGAGGTCGAGTCGGACACTAATGTGAAGCCAGGCAAAGACCGAGGCAAAATGGGCCGATTTCCCCGCTGTCGATCCCCCGTCATTCGTTTTCAATCTTGCCTCTGGTTCTCGCCCCCACGTTGCACGGGGGGGCTCTGGGTTTAGCCTTCATATGCCAGATGGCCAGGATATTCAAGGTTTCTAGCTTGTTTGTCTGTCTGTCTGGCCAGGTCAGATGATGATGACGGTGCATCTCATGCAAGGATCTGCTTGTCCCTCACTGGATGCGCGCGCGGTTGCAACAAGCTTGTGGCTTGTGGCGAAACACCAACCCCCACGTCCACGACTGACGGAGGGTCCAAGCGGCCTTGCGAGTACTGAGAGACATAGGCTTTGTCTCTCGTCACGGTGGACTAATGCACCAGTAGATATTATCATTAACCGATCATCACCGATATTGTCCTATGACAGGCCCTAGGAGCAGTGAGTCTCTTATGATGGCAACTCATACGGGACCTCCTCGCGGCCCTCCATCTCCGCAGGTACCGATGCACGCGAGTATTTGGGATCCTTCGAGAAAGCCGGCAACTCATACGATGGCACAGTCTCGCTTCTCATATCCATCGGAGCCATCGCCTCTCGCCTGGCTACCTCCCTACGTCGCCAGAGCCAGTACCAGGCCAGTCCGGTCGTCAGCAACAGCGCACAGCCCAATCCCACCCCCACTCCGATTCCGATCTTTGCTCCTCTACCCGACCCCGAAGTCGTCGCTGCCAGGGTGGTGGTCTCCGCCGATGCCGATGTGGCGGTGACAGCAGCTGATGCAGTCAACGCCACAGAGGGGATGGATGTGGCAGACGTCGATACCGCCGTTGTTGTAGTTGAGGTTCCGATTGCTGCCGTGGTGGTCGTACCCGCAGAGATATTGAAGTAGTGGCTGGCGAACACCCCGTCCCAGTCTTCCAGATCGGTCGCATCGCGGATCTGGAAGAAGAACACTACGCCGTCGCTCAGGTTCCTTTGGGTGCTGACCACCCAGTCGTAGCTGGTGACACCGCTGAGGTTGGCTGCGGGTTTGGTTAGTGGCTTGCATAATGAATATGAGACTCATGGCTGTCAGGATGCGTACTTTGAAGCCACTCGTAGTCGGAATTGTCATTCTGCCAGAGCATCAGAGACAGGTATTCGAGGCTGGTCGCCCATCGGAGCTGGACAGTCTGTTCGAGGGTGTAGACGGGGTCCTCCGAGTAGTCGTGGATGGGGCCGCCGGTCGGAGGATTGTAGAAGATCCCTGCCTCCGCTCTCGCATGAACGATGACGGAGGTGTATAGGCATAGATAGAAGACGCATTTGACCATTTTGCTATAGGGTGGTTGTACACTCGGAACGACGTTGCGGTTGTCTGATGGCTGGCTTCTCCCGGCCCAGGTAACAGGGTGGGTGAGAGAGGGATCCAAAAGTAGTCAGACAGTGAGGGCGGGGGAACTCGCTTGACCCCAAGAATGGGCTTATCATTGCTAGAGAGATCCCAGGGGGATGGTTCACCAATGGCTACTATCGCTAGTAGGGTAAGAAGTGTCGCCATTCCAACACATAGTTTCTCTGTTGCTATTTTGAGCTCTTCCCAGGGATAGTTGCATTGGAACGAATCACAGGCATAGTGTGCTGGGCTAAGGGCTATTAGCACAAGCGGTACTCCGTAGAGAAGTCTGACTCGCACATCTCGGGGAGCCCATCATGTTTACTCTTTGGATACACCGCAGACAGGCCAAGCCGACACGATGTGACCCTTGGGATGCGTGATGACGGGATGGTTCGACCGGGGTAGACGAGGTTAGCGCTAAAGCTCCGTCTATCACTGGCTGCATCGAGCCCTAACCATGCAGATAAGCTGCGCCGCCATCTTGGCCCTGGACGACAATTTGACGGACGTAAGGCCGGTCAGTGTCGTTATCGCGCCTATAAGCTTCGTTCGCATGAGCTGTTGCCGCCCATAGCTCGACCAGTTGCCCTGATAAAGACTCAACCCTCGAATCTCTCTTTCCTAGGAGACATGATAAGCTAATTAAATATTCTCCATCTTCTCAATATGCTTCTGGCACCACGACAATGTCTCTTCCTTACCGCAGCAGGCTGCATTCTCTTGATCATAGTCACCTTGTATCGATATTCCCCGATCGCGCCCTCTAGAAAGCTAGAACACTCGGCTTCACCCTCGTCTGATGTTTCACCAGTCAGCGACGCAGCCAACTCGACATTGGGTGTAAGCCTTTCTTCTCCGATACACAAGACCAATGGGTGTTAACCTCAGACCAGTTCCAAGCGATCTTCGCCCTCTCCGCCGGCCCCTCCTGGCGAACACGAGGCCTCCTCGCCGCCGCCAACCTGACCGGACTAGAAATCGCCCTCCCACCCCAGCCCCCCATCCCCGCCGCCCTAGTCACCGCATTCCAAGCCCTAGGCGACAGCACGCAGCACCCAACCCAAGGCGCCAGCAAAGCCTGGCTCGCGCACCTCGACCTCATCAAACACATCCACCAATCCCGTCTGGACACCGCCCTAATCCTCGAAGACGACGTCGACTGGGACCGGGCCCTGCGCGCCCAGACTCCGCGGATCGCCGCCGCGGTCCGCAACCTCACCCACGTCTCACCCACCGAGGACAACGACAACGCGCCCTACGGCCGGGCCTGGGACCTCCTCTGGCTCGGCCACTGCGGCGAGTACTGGGAGGACAGCATCGAGACCGTGGTCTTCGACGACCCCACCGCCATTCCGCACGCGCAGTACTCCGGCTGGGCGAGGGAGTATATCGCGCGGTTGCCCGACCGACGACGGGCGGTGTATCGGTCGTATAACCCGGTGTGCTCGTTCGCGTACGCGCTGTCCCGCGACGGGGCGCGGAAGGTGCTCGAGCTTGTCGGGGGCGGTGGGGATGAGGCGTTCGATATCGCGGTTATGCATCAGTGTCGTGCGGGGAGGCTGGTGTGTCTGTCTGTCGTGCCGGAGGTGGTGCATCAGTATTTCCCGGCGGAGCGGTTCGGGGTTAAGAGCTTGGTGGATGTGGGGAATGGGGAGGTGGACGGGCCGGGCGAGGGGGGAGAAGAGGGGGGGGACTTTGAGGCGGTGATGGGGTCGACGGAGAATATTCTAGAGAGTGCCAGGTGTTGGGCTTTGTGGCGGCAGACGTGTTTGAGGCAGTAGATTTGAGGACTGGATATGGAATGTAGATGAATGGACGGCTGTTTGGTGTGGGGAAAAGAGAGGTCGGACCCGCGGGGTTCACACTGCACCTGGCGCATCTCGGAGTTGACCTCCGATAATTTATGCGAGTAGCGCTGTGCCATGTAAGATACGAAATTCGAATAGTGGTTGTATATTACCTGTTTTCAATTACTCTTGGGGTGGAACGCGTGTGAGTGCTAAACAATTACAAAGTAACGCCCATACGGCAACACAGATATATAAATAGACCCCCCGGGGTTTGACCACTGTTGGCCAAAACAGACGAGTAAATTTTCCTACGGGAGTGGACACTTCCTGTGCACCGGCCCAAGTCTTTAAGAAGCAGTGACTGAATTCAGAAACAGCGAAGAAGGGTAGAGGGTAATCATGTGCTGGTAAATTATGTTTCTGTCCTGGGGTTGATGACTGCTGTTGGGAGCTGACTACATTTATTATTTAGGAATATGTACTTCAAAGTTGATGCCGATATCACAACAACAGGTGCTGTGGTCTAGTGGTATGACGTCACGTTGTGGCCGTGCCAGCCCCGGTTCGATTCCGGGCAGCGCCACTCTTTTTTAATTTTGTTTTTGTTTTGCTGGTTAAATTCACTGAATACAGACGTGCTTGTGGACGTGCTTGTGAGTAAACGAACCCAAGATCTATAACCCCACCAGATCAATCCCCAAACGGATCCTCAAACCCCAAAGCCTCGCCCACATTGCGATAGAGCTCCGCCGGCATCGGCCAGAAGCGCAACTCCATCCCCTGCACAATCGCCCGCTCCCTCTCATCCAACGCCGTGAAATACCACTCCTCCACGCAGTAAAGCAAGTCCCGCATCTCCTCGTCGAACAAAGCATTGATCGGTCGCCCGGCGCGCTGGACCTCCACCTGGAAGCAATACGCCGGTTCACCCCACGGCTGCTCCTGGCCCGTTTCTATAAACAACCCAGCCCTCCCGGGACGCCACGGTTCATCATCAAAATCCTTCTCCTCCTCCTCCCTCTCAGCGCCCAAATCCCTGACCAACCCCTCCATCTCAGGAACCATGCCCTCTCGCACGGCCCACAGCCAATGCATCGACCGCTCCACGGCCCAGTCCGCGAACGCCGCGTGATCAAGCGCCGCATTCTCGGGACGCAGCTCGTACTCCTCCGCGAACTCATCGACGACAAAGTACCGCCCGGCCTCCGCAAGGAGGCGCAAGCGGTCCGTCAACGCACTGATCGTGCGCGCGACATGATCGAGCCGGGCGCGCACCGCCGACGCCACCACCGGCCCATCGCACAGCGCAACCGGGCTCGTGAACTCGTACCCGCCGTCCGCGGGGGCCACCATCCCCACGAACCACGGACGGTACCGATCCTTGGCCGCCTCGCTGCGGATCAGCGCGGCTGTCTCCTCGGGCGTGCGCCGCCCCAGCGCGACCAGCAGCGCCGCCTCCCACTGTCGGCGCTGGGCGCGCCAGGCCCGCAGCCGCGCGTGGTAGGCGTCCGCCGCGGCGGTGAGTTTGGTCCGGTAGTTGCGCAGGGAGTTGCGGGCGACGAAGAGGCAGGTCCGGGGGTCGGTGAAGGGCGGGTAAAGGACGACGTCGTCTGTGGGCAGGGCCTCGCCGCCGGACTGGAGGAGGGTGTAGGTGCTAGACCGGGTGTTGGGCGCCAGGTAGACGGGCTCGTAGGCTTGGCTGGTCAGGTAGTGGACGTCGAGTCGGTGCGGGGGCAGGTCGCGACTTAGGCCGACGCGGATGCGTTGGGGGGAGATGTCGTCGAAGGCGGGGATTGCTGGTGGTAGGGGGGAGGTGCGCCAGGTGAGGAATTCGTTCAGGGTTATGTGGGCTTGGTGGGGGAGGAGGCAGATCGGACTGACGGGGAGAGAGCTGGTGGGGAGTTTGTCGTTGGGGTCGTTGGCGGGTTTGTCTGGGGTGGCTCGTTTCGGGGCTCTGGATGGGCTGGTTGTTGAGGGGGGCCGCTTGCCTGCCATTTTGATATGCGAGATTACCACAGAATGTGATTGTTGAGGAAGGCGAATCGTCGACACGGAGGTGGTGGTGCGCTGAGAGGAACTTTAGGCTTGTGAGAGGAGATGGTGGATCACGATGTCAATATTGCTGGAGGGAAGAGCAAGAGGGGAGAGCAGGTGTCTGGAACCAAGCTGTATGTAAGATTCGAGTGAGAGGATTATGACGAGAATCAGAGCAACGGAAAGAAAGACGCGAGCCAGCAGATGAAACCTGGGTGAAGAATGGCTGTTTCAACTCGAGAAGAAGCGAGATCTCGACGTGCTCTTCTCTTGACCCTAATAGTTCAGCCCGGAGAAATGCCTCTGATGCTGATCAGGCTCTGGGGGATACATTGTGGGAAGCGAAAGAGTATAAAGGCAGAGGTGCCAGATCAAGCCTGACGACCACGCTGATCTCGATCATGAGAGGCCTTAGCTATGTGAGTGACGCATTGGGTAACGATGCGAGAAAAGACACTAATTCATCTAGTAAGCTACCACTACAAACAGACGAGAAGTATAGACGTGGCTGATGCATCCACCAGGCCGAACACATAACGAGCAGAAGCAGGAGCAATCTCAAACAAAGGTATAGTACAGCACCGCGACTAGCATCCACAACATAAGCATTCCACGATCTCGAAGCAGCACTCGCAGGCCTCCTCGCAGAGAAAACAACAGCACATGGTCAGAAGACTAAGAACCGTTAGCCAAAGTCAGGTCCGCTCGGGTCCAGGTCAGCACATACCAGGTGGTGAGACACCCACGGTCCTTGGACTGCGACTGCTCTTGCGGGGGAGCATACTGCATTTGCTGGGGAGGCGGGTATTGACCACCGGGAGGTGGGTAACTAGAAAGATCTCATTAGTAACAGATTCGCCTAGTAGACTCGGCTGCTCCTCTGCTAACGTACTATCCCTGTGGTGGAGGTGGCTGTTGTTGTTGACCGTAGTATGACATGGTGGGTTTTATGCGGGGGGGGGGGGGGGGTGAGCACCGACAACAGGAAAAAAGCTGGGACTGAGCCGAGGGGATGGGCAAAGGGCAGTTAGCCCGCCTATTATTATAATTCAAACGAGCCCGGACAGCCTAGGCAGAAGGGATTGGCATTTGCCCAAGTCAGCCCTGCCGAGAGGAGAAATCAAACTGGTTTCTCTTGGCCCTGCGGTTGTCGCTGGGGGGTGGTTCCACCCTCCCGATTGCCATTGGGCCCAGGGACAGGGTAATCGTCGACAGCAATCAATAGTCAGGAGCCGATGTGACGAAAAGAGGAGGTTCAGTCATCCTCAATGGCAGCATTGGCGCGTGGGGAGGTTACACGTTGGGAGTCCCAGAATAGATAGGTAACACCACACGCCTAGTCTCGAACTGCTTTGGGGGCGCTTGCATTGTGATCGTGGCGGCTGGGAAAAAGTCGGTTTATGCGACACCGACTGAACAGATCAGCCATAGGGGTGCATGAAGTGGATTTGTGCCAATGCTCTATGGTTTGTGCCGAAGCAGCCCTCAGCACTCCTGAGGGTCTCCAGGGTCATGGGAGCAAGAGGAATTGGCGGCCGCGGAGCGAGATTGGATTAAGACCGTCAGAAACGCCAAGACTGGCGCTTCGCCCCTTAAGGCTGGACTGGAGGAAGACATGTTCCGCCCCTCTTCAAGCGCCAATTGGCAATGCAGCCAAGAAGGACTTGCTGTCTCGAGTGTTGCATCTTGCATGCAGAAATAGTGCTGCCTAGTAGATGGTATGGGCTGTACGAAGAGCATGACTATTTGCCACCATACATCAACTTGGGCTTGTAGCTCAGTGGTAGAGCGCTCGCTTCGCATGCGAGAGGTCAGGGGTTCGATTCCCCCCAAGTCCAATGTTTTTGGCCCCACGTTTCCTTTTTGGCTTCCTTCTCGGCTGCTGTTTAGCGACTGGGCCAATAATAGTGTTGTGCTCTGGGGCCGTTTGCCGCCTTCCAGAAACGACTTGGTGAGCGTCTCTCTACAGCCAGCCCCATACTAATGTACATCTTTGTTGCCAAGTGACTTCTAGAGCTATGTACAATCAAGGGACTTTCACGACCCCGTATCCACGCTGACTGCATATCACAACCAAGGTCGCCACAAAAGGACGGATCCAGTGTGAAGACATCACCCGCGACAGCAACGCGATATGCATCGATGAACCTCAGTATGACCATCCACAACGGGCACGTGGCTTGAGAGGCTGCACATACCATCAGCTTCGGACCGTCGATCCGTGTTACTCACTCTAGCCAATCCGCTGCTTTCGCCTCACCCAGACCTCCTGCTCGACAGGCCCTGCGGCCCCTTCCTCCGACGCCGGGGGATCCCGCAATTGCACCTCCCAGACCTTCAGCTTGTAGTTGCCACGGTCCGCCTGCCCCGAGAACAGATCGAACGACCACCCGTGCTTGGGACAGTTGATGCCCGCGCTGAGAGTGATACCGAAGTCCTCGATGTCAAAGACGCTGCCCCAGGATAGTGGATACAGGGCGTGAGGGCATTGCTGGGGGTATATATGCATCAATGCTTGCTGGCCTACACAAAACTCATAGGATCTAGAATAAAGAAGGCTTACATGGTCAATAGCATGGAGTTTGCCCTTGTACCGAAAGACGAGGACCTGTTCGTTGATGTTGCCCGGCATGTCCAGGTCCGCCTCGACGGGGGTGTCGGACGGGCACTCGTCCGTGGTGGCCGTGGTGGGGACATGGAATGCCTTGCAGCTGGCCTTGATCCGCGACTTGGCATCCTCGGAGTCGACGTCCGGGAAGTCGGATGTGAGGCCGACCTTGCGCCAGGTGGCTGCTGTCTGTGATGGTCGGTGGAAGGGGTTCATTGCCGGTAGGGGATGGGATTATAGTTGGGAAATTGACAATTGAAGTCAATGTGACTCGCTCGCTTTTTCGCGCCTGCGGGGATTTGCGAAGGGCGATTAGTCATCGAGCTCAAGTGTTTCTCCGCACCCCACATTAATTTCCCCAGCACAAGAAGAGGGCTGTCGCTTCCCTACGGTGGTATTCGGGTTGAATCCGATTGAGACTCAATTCGAAATCGGGCATAGCTAGTTCCACTGTAGCAATCGCAAATACCTTTCTCGCTTGATACACACATATAGCACAGGTCCGGCCTGGAGACGGAAATCACAAAACAAAGCCGGGGCAACCAGACCATTCGCTATCAAAATCAACCCTGAAACAAAAGAACATCCAAAGAGCCACTCAACCTGACCTGACCTGTCATCTTTCAAGAGTCAACAGACAAGAAAAGCACACTGCTCAGCCAATGCTCAGACACATGCCGTCCTTGAGCGCCTTGATCATATCCTTGGTCAAGGGATCCTTCTTGTTGAAGCTCTGCGCCTTGCGCTCGGCGGGCGAGTAGGTGGTGATATCGAGGGAGTCGCCACCGATCGCCGCCTTGCTCCGGCTGCCCGCCCCATAGGCGGTGACCTTGTTCTTGCGCTCGTAGGCCTTGAAGCCCGTTGCCCAGCCCCAGGGATTCTGAGCGGCTGCGGGGAGTTCCACGTTCTGCTCCTCGGCCTCCTCCTCAGCCTCAGCGATGATGTCGGCGATGTTCGACGGCCCGTACATGGTGATGTTGTGCTTGACGCCGTAAGCGAGCAGATACGGCACGAAGTGCTCCCCGGCGTAGGCCTTCTTCTTCTTCTTCTTCTTCATCCCCTCTGGCGCCTCGATGAACCCGTCGGAGCGCATGGCGTCGGCTTCCCGCGTGACCATCCCCATGACCCAGCCGAGGTTGCGCACGTGGGCCAACTGACCCTGTTTCTCGAGCTCGGCCAGCATGCTCAGGAACATCAGCTCGAGGATGATCATGGTCTCCCCGAAGAGGTCGCCGTCGTCAATTCTGGCATTTGATCAGCACCGCCCATGGCACTTGTATCAGCAGAGAGTGAGTCCTACCCAACCATGGGGTCGAGCGAGTCGGTGTTGAACAGCAGGGCGAGCGCCTCGCAGATGGCCCACTGCTCCTTCCAGTTGCCGGCAGCCTCCTTGAAGTCGAGCAGCATGTTCTGGGCCACCTCGATGGCGCCGTAGCCGGCGTGGTCGTTGAAGGTGTACATGTCGAAGGCATCCGGGTTGCGCAGATTCAGCATGTCCTGGTAGGTGTTCAAGCGCTGCATGCCGGCGCGCGAGATGGTCCAGCGGTGGTCGGGGTGGTCGGCTGCCGGCTTGCGACACATGCAGCTCTCGCCCGTGTCGCAGTCGCCCGTGGGCTCGTCGTTCTCGTTCTCGCTGTCCTCCTCCTCGTTGTCTTCGTCTTCTTCCGCCCTGGGGACCCGGCAGATGCAGACAAACTCGTAGGGGTTGGGCTTCTCCTTGAGGAAGAGGTGGTAGGCGACATCGGCGTTGCCGGAGGCGGAGACCGCGGCCCAGCGCTTGTTGCGCGGGATGTTGGCTGTTTCGGATGCCACTGTGAGGTGAGGTGAGATGCGATGAGATGAGCTGTGGAAGGAATGAAGATAGGATGAGAAATGGGAATTGGGGGTGAATGGTAAAAATAATGGAAAAGGAGAGTTTGGATGTGTTGAATGTGTTGAATGTGATGGATCAAATTTCACCCATGATAAGATAACTAAGTTATGCGTGTTTGTTTGTCACAACGCGCGGGATGCGTTGTTTGCTTGGGGTGTCGTCATTTCCACCTAGAATCAGCACCGTTAGTTAGGTTAAGTTACTGTCCATTACTCATGATTATTATTGCCACTTCTGCCGTGTCTCTACATCATGCACTCTTTTGCAGAAGCATTTGTGCCGGAACTGACTTTGTGGCAAAAGTAAGGGAGTCTTTGACAGGCATGTCATGGGTGGAGCGCTATGTGGGCCCCTGTCAGATCACCTTCCTCAACTGTAAGGTACGTACACGGTATGCATCCTTCCTACCTGTCGATCAATGGCTTCGGAAAGACTGAGAGGAGACTACAATCAACTTCAACCGTGATATCGAAGGAGAGATGTGAATGGAAGGACCGTGGACACTGCAGAAGGAGGTCCGATTAGGTACGCTGGCTCTTTGCGCACGGCCAATCATGTCACGAGAACTCATTTCCTCAGCTTTGACTGCCTGCACACTTCCAGCTGAAGAACAACCCTTGAAAAGCCAGGAATGTATGTTCCTGGAACATGAAACAAACCACTGTTGAGGCTTATTGACGTGTGGCCAAGTAAGCGGATGTACTGTACAGCAATGCTACCAGTACCTCACTTATGCCCGACCCAGCTGCACAGCACATCATCAGATACCCAATGATCAAGAGCGATGCATGCTTCGAAACTACGGACCTGAAGGCATATTGCTCTGAGGTGATACTATGTCAAGCAATACAGCACAGTGGTTCGAACTAAAGACCTTATCAGATAACAACATGTGGACTGAACAGCGTACGGCCGCGTATATCACATGATTCTCCAGAATAAAAGATTCGGCAAGCATTAGATACCAGAGACATGAATTCAAAACTGATAACTTGATCACTGCATCGAAACTGGTTTCCAACCGCCCGTGAGTGCCTGGCAGCGACCCGTCTGACGGACACCATTTCTACTGTGCAATCAGCTGAGCAATGTCTACATCCTGTTTGTACGTGCAGTCAGCATCCAGTCAGTGCGGTCATAGGCGGAAAATGCCACCATACCTTCTCGTTGAAATCGTCTCGTCCCGTGTAATACTGACCTAGGGACTCATAGGTCATCCTCGGCATACCAGGAACCAAAGCAAGGTCCCACCCCGCAGATATCGCAGCTGCATCACCGCCCCCGCGCACCATCTCTGCAAGCTGCACATCCGACGGCACGTTGAATGCAAAGCGTTGCAGAATTTCTTCTTTCTGCTCTACGGAACCCCGCACCCAGTCCAAATAATGTGGCTTGTTCGGCTCGTCCGTCTCCTGCCGACTCCCACGACGCGAAACATTGTCCGCGACCAGCACGGACTTACCCGGCTTCAGCAGCCCCAGATTCTCGGCCAGCCAGAGATCAGGGAGATAGCGATCCTTGAAGTGATCGAGGAAGAGGACGTCAATGCCATCGTCGAACACCCCTTGCCTCGTCAGCCGGGCCAGAGACAAATGCGCCGGGGCCACCAGCAGGGTGATAAAATTCTTCAACCCGGCCAAGTCGATCAGGAGACTTGCAATGGCCGCGCTGACGGGGTTGATCTCTAGACTGAAATAGTGCTGGCCTCCGGCTTGGCGCACCGCGTGGCCGAAAAGAATGGTCGAATATCCGACGTACCCGCCAAGCTCGACCATGATTTGCGGCTTTCGCTCGGCAATAAGCGAGGAGACCACGGCGCCTTTCTCCGGGCCAATGTGAATCAGATGGGACTGCTCTCGGGCGAACCGGTCAATCTCTGCCAAGACTGCGGCCGGGTTGCCACGGAGGGAGGTCTCCAGATGAGGCAGGGAGAAGATGTGTTGCAGAAGAACGAGCTCGCGGCCGTCCTGCTTCCACGCAACTATTTAGCTCCTGCTGCTTTACTGTGATTGGGGAGGTAGGTGGCATACTTCACGGTTATACTTGGGATTACCCATCTCGGATGTCAGAATATTATGCTTTATGCTTAAGATCGAAGAGATTGTCATGCGAAAAAAAAAAAAAAAAAAGAGTTGATTACGTGCCTGATGCATTCTGGACCACAGCCGACCATTTTATCCTCGGAACGCCCGCCCTGATATCCATGGACCAAGGATTGTATGATTTCTATCAGATTACCGCCGAAGTCCGAGGTCTTGGCTCTCGCAAGCCGGTACTGAATCGGGGCTAGTGTGGCGGTAGAAGCCCGATGGAAATGGGTAGGGCTCAAGCCAAGCCCTAATCAGATACATTCTTTCGCAGATGCCTGCCTACAACAATCAGATTAAATAAGCGTCGAGCCATGGCGATTTTTATAATCTGATCATCTGATAAACTCTATTTCTTCGCCATCGTTTGCATGCATTCAACGCAGCCTCGTCGAGATGGTTTTTCCAGGCAAGCTAAGCACCGGCTGCGTTCTCTGTCGCAAGCGCAAGGTCAAGGTACGAGGGAACTTGTTCTCTGTTGCTCCAAATGTCTCTGCAATAGTTGTACGTATACTGACAACCAAGTATAGTGCGATGAAGGCAAGCCAGGCTGTCAGCGCTGCAGCACGCACGGGGTCTCTTGTCCGGGCTATCCCGACTCCTTCGCTTTCCGAGGATATGAGCTTGCGCAGGGAAGCACTGCCGGGAAGTTGAAAGTCGTCCGAAACGCGAGGTCATCTCCCTCTAGCCCACATGGGCCGAAGCAGAAGAAGGTCGACTCCGCAAAGATGCAGCCAAGAAGCACGATTGCTTCAATCATTCCCGAGGACAGCGAGCTGATGTCACTATGCTACTTTCACCACCACCATGTGCTGAGAGTCCAGCGATCGCCCTGCGAGGGCCATCTGGCCTTCTTCCCGGACCTCTTCCAAGAGCGGGGCAACGATCCGTGCTTCAAGCATGCCGTTCTCTCGGTGTCCTACCTGACGCTCTTCCACAGGGCGCGGGTGCCCAAGTTTCAGATCAATGCACGAAGGCACTATGGTCTGGCCTTGCGGCTGTTGAATCAGGCACTGAGCTTCAGCCAGGCGCAAGTACGCGACGAGATCTTTGCCGCCTCGTTGTTCCTAAGCATGTTCTCGGTAGGATGGCCCGACAAGGATAAACAACGAACACTCATATCGAGCGTGACTAACCGAGCACCTGGCCAGGATCTGAGTGGGGAGGGTGCGACGACAGGATCCCTGAACCCCCACATCCCCGGCATCTACTCCCTCATGCAACTGCGCGGCATCCCATCAAGAAGCAACAAGTATAGCCGGCGCCTATGCGGCTGGGCATACACCCAAATGGTGAGTACCAGCACGCCCTCCCGCTGCAACCAAGAGAGCGCGCCCTAAGCCCACCCCGCAGCAAGTGCAGGCGATGATCCGCCGGGAATTCCGATATGCCTGCATGCCGCCCTCCTTCGACGGGATCACGCACCCGTGCACCGTGATCCGCTCCTCGATCCTGACGGGCAAACTCTCCGACTTCTGCATGCAGGCCACCGACGCTCGTCGGCGCACGAGCCCCTCGTCCCCGATCCACGCCGACACCCTGCACGCGCTGCTGGTCCAGGCGTGCACCCTGCTGATCGAGCTCCACAACTGGCAAGCCACCATCCCCAACCACTGGCGCAATCAATACGAGAATCCTACCCCCACACCCACACCCACACCCTCGCCGCTCTCCGAGCACCACCACACCGCCGCCGATTCCCACAGCACGTCCGAGTCTCGTGCGCGGGATCCGTGGACCACCTGCTTCCTGGCCGGGGTGCAGGCGGCGCAGATCTCGTTCTACCAGCAGTTCTTCGACTGTTGGGAGGAGTGGTGCTTCCTGCAGGGCCGACACGCCTCCCTACCCGAGTTGGCGGTGCTGGGGCTCCCGGATGATCCGGTCATGTTCCTGCTGGATGGGATCGCGTATCTGGTGGAGGTGATCTGCGCGACGGTCACGAGTACGCTTGGCGGTCTTGATGTAGAGGCACGCCACCGATTTCGGCTGCATGAGCATGCCAAGCTGGCCAACGGGTATACGCTGCTCTGGCCGATGTGGGTGGTCGTCAACTGCCCCTTCGCCGACCCGGATCAGATCATGCTCTGTCGGGCGGCGATTGAGTGTGTGGGGTCCACCATGGGGTACAAGCTGGCCTTGCATTTGATTGAGCCGGGCCGTGGGGGGTGGGCTGACTGCTGACTGAAGCATGAGTCTCACCGTTCGAGAAGATAAACAGCATCCTACCGGAAACCTGGCTGGTTGCTTGTGCACCCGACTCGGCGGCCTGGAGAAATGTTACCTGGATCCTTACCATACTGCTAGACCGGTCCAGTGAGCAGACTCCGAGGCCAGCTGGCGACATTGCTTAGGCCCATCGTTTCCGCGAAGGGGCCACTTTCCCTCAAAAACAGACCACATCAAACTCCGAGGCAATGATCGTTCGGCTGGATTTGGGAATGAACCGGCCGATGCCTGCCCGCTTCGTCTACGCATCTCCCACCCATTCGTGTGGCAAGATAAGATCCATCTGCAGCCCCACAACCAGCCAAGCAACGGCAGGGATATTTCCTCATTCGCTGCACGAACACAGAGAGGAGCCTCGACCGGCCAAGCGCCCAGGCTTCGTTCACCAAGCCAACATCGGGACTCCAGTCAGAAAGGCCCAAAGGTATAGCCTACGCCAAGCTAAATGACCTCGACCCCAACACGCAGTAATCCCCCTTTGAGCATGTCTTTTACAAAAATACGACCGCAGCTCAGCATGATAGAGGGAGATATTATCCGCCCAGACCGACAAGGCAACCAGCCGTGGAAATTGGAGTTTTCTACAATCTGCTTTGATATACAGGAAACACGATCGCCGTCCTTGAAGGGATCAATCGCAATGAGTCCGCCACAGTTCCCGATCCGCATTGTTTCAATACGCGGTGCGGGTATGCAGCATGGCCGTGTTGTCGTTGACAAGCACATCGCCCACCTCCCAGGCGAGCCGCAGACACACCCAGTAGTCATACAGGAGCCGGTCGATGACGGGGATCAGCCGGGCGCCGCCGTCCGCGGCGTTCTCGATCCTGACCACGCAGGTGGAGAACTTGGTCTTGCTCGTGGATGGAGAGGCGCACATAGTCCCCGCGCTGGGCCTTGATGGCGGAGGCGTAGATCTGCCCACGCGCAAGCATGCGCCGCGCCGTCTGCGAAATCTCCTCGGCCCGCGCCCGTTCAGACTTGGCCAGCTTTGGGCGATGGGCGAGATCCTTGGTTAGGAACTTGATGTACCCCCGTTACGTGAGGAGGAGGTCCATGTCCGCATTTATGGCCTCCCGGGGGTCGAAAGAAGGGTCCTGAAAGCGCAGGGTGGGCTCGCGGCGCAGGCGGGATGCATGCGCCACGTAAAACTCTTTCGTGGATCTGGGATGCTCCAGCAGGTCGGCCAGTCGAATGAATCGAATGTGAGCCAGGTTCTGGTCCACGGCGATCTGGCGCAATGCTTCGCCATAGTCCCAAACCACTTCATCGGGAACCCCGAGGATGTCTGGTACTTGTCAGTTGGGTGAAGATTGAACTATATAATAGAAAGGAAATAAACCCACCGTTATGTACAAGACCGTCTGAAGAGATACGTACCTCTGCCCCCAGCAAATATATTTGGGGGATGTTCAGGCAAAGCCCGTTTAGATGCTGCAAGGCCAACTCCTCCCCCAGATCGGGGAGCACACCTAGGGTTTTATTCTGGTAGTTGGAACTTGAAAGAAAACGCAGGCAGAACCATTCGAGCAGGCTCTTGCTTCTGCACAAAGCTCATGATTGTCGGGAGGAAGCCTTCCGCATTCTCCCACGACATGGGTCCACCCCTCTGGCAATTGACGGTGTAGTCGGCTAGGATTTGCAAGATCGCCTTCGCTACATCTCTTGCTGGGCTGTCGTCGCTCTCCTCTTTCACTGTACACATGATGCGCCATCCTTGTTGCAAAAGAACGGGGAACAGACTGACCATCTGTGACATTGGCCTCTATGAGTCCATCTTTGAGAGCTTCCACAGCCCCAGCTGTGTCTTGTTTGGCTTCAATGTGCAGGGTCTCGTCAGCCAGGGCATTCGGCGAAGTGCCTGAATTAGCGTTCTAGTGGCTGCTGCGAGGCGGCGGACACCGGGGGGTGGCGGATGGAACAAGCATTCCAGGAGGAAATTCCGAATGGGCTGGCACTGGTATCTTCCGATGGAGCTAACAGAGTCTCTCTTAAATGCGGAGATGAGAACATTGCTATTGATTTCGCCGGCCTTGAATCAGATGTCAAAAGGGGGTCTGGGCAAGTCGTCCCACAAGCTGTGGCTAGCCTCCTATAACGAATGAAGACGTTGTCTGGCGAAGAACAGGCTACCGGAGCATGAGCCAGGACATCAGACAGTGCGACAGTCAATGTTCCCTGCCATGTCACCACTGGCCAAGAGCCCTAACTTCCCGCCTCCCGACGTCAACCGTCATGGGTTGAGCTTAGATTAGGTTAAGTTATTCGATGGAGAAAAGCGCAAACATTACAACGCCGCCACGCCTCCGGATGCGGTCGAGAACTTCAATGCTTTCATCATCGATCATGTCTCTACAGGCACTGCGCTGGCCATTGCGAAGAGTAACTGGGCTCTGTCCTTCGGCCAGCGTCCGTTTGTGGCCCATGGCGTCATGTGTGGCATCACGTTCACCTACGGCGGGTTGCGCACGGATGATGCGGCGCACGTCTTGAATGAGGAGGGGCTTGTCATGCCGGGTCTCTGGGCGGTTGGGGAGATGGCCGGGGGCTTCTTCGCCTTCAATTATCCGGGGGGCTCGGGGTTGACTAAGGGGGCGGTCTCTGGGAAGATTGCCGGCGAGGCGGCGGCTCAGAGGGCGAAGACAGTCCGTGGCTGAGCAGCTGCCTGTTGTCTATACTTTAATCAATGCGGAATCTATTCTCGATGCTCCCAGGACATGATTAAATGATACTGGAGTAAGCGTACGGAGTAGCTTCTTGCAGGTGGGATTCTGTATGATCAGTGCAGATGGCGTGTTGCCCTTGAAGACAATTGTGGCGGCATAGGGTTATCTCCAGCGAGGCCCTAAGGCCGTCTGTCCCAATCGCGCCCTGGTGTCTTCCAGTACGCAAAGCCAAGCTATATGAGTATGAACACTGCCAAGGAGAATTTAAACAGAGTAGCAGAGATCGAGGGAGCGGCAGCTGGACTTCACGATTGCGTATTAGAGGGATCTGCATGAGATGAGTCGATTCTCGGAGATCCGTGGGGCAGATCCACCCAGCATGACTCGCTGTTTGCGCGGTAACCACAATTTGTTATCAGATGAACTACGGAGACCCTACCATCGATTGATTCATCAGATGACGTATAGATTGCAGATCTAATACACTTCTAGCTCGAACTGAAAACGACAGACCATACTAAGTAGTAAGACGAGCCGGTCAGCTCCCGACAATGGGGAAAGACCCACGAGCTGAGAACTTTAAACAGTCGTATCGCCCACCCAGCCCCTCCACCAAAGCCGATGTGATAAGACGACAACAAGATCGATCCACATAGCGTGGCTGGGCTAAGCCGCAGCTGAAAGCTTACGCTGTAAGTTATTCCCCAAATGCTTCTATAAATTGAGCTTCAGGCCACGTTTCTGCTTCGGTTTGTTGCCAGCTTCCCAGCATATCCATCAACCCCAAGACCAAGACCAAATCCAAGATCTCTATCAATCAAGACCACATTCGAAGCCTAATACTGCCACAAAATGCCTGTCAGAGTCCTTGAAGAGTACGCCTGGGCTCACCCTCCCCTCCCTTCCTCGCCATTGACTGACCTCCGTCTCGTCTTCTAGTCCCGGCGAAGTAATCGAGGCGATCAACGAAACCCCGAAGTCCGTCGTGGTACATTACTGGGCTCCGTGGATGGGGCCCAATTCGCCTCTCCTTCCACTCTTCGAAGAGGCGGACGAGACCCGGGGGGGTGAGGTGGACTTGGTCATTGTGAACAGTGGGTTCATTCCACCGCCGCATTCACCCGACGAGATGCCCTTGACGGTTCTCCATAAGGGCGGGGAGGAGGTGGAGACTGCACCCTTCGATCCCATCCAAATCCAGCAGCTTATTGATAATGCGTGAGGGAATAGGGACCGGAAGGTCTTATTGTGCGTGAATTGAATCTTAGTTTTTCTCTCAAAGATATTGTCATTTCATTCCAAAAACACATTCAAGGAATACACCTATGGTTCGGCTTCAGTAATACAAGGAACCAGCTCTGTATTCACATCACAGCGCTGAATTAGCCCTCGGCTTACAAGGGGGGATGCCGAGGCCAGTAAAGCGGAACACAGACATAAAAGGCAGGAAAAGAAAAAGCAGCCAGCCGGGCAGAAGAAGAAAGCTCGATCAATTGCGATCGGAGTCAGTATCTCGATCAGCGCGAAGCCGAGCTTGTCAATCTCGTCTGCCGCCCTGCCTGAGCGCCAGTGATGTAGCCAGCCCCGAATCGGGACATTCAGGCGGCTGGCTGAATGCCGCCAAGTGCTGAATGTTCTTGATTGAACAGCTTTACCAAGATGGACCTAGAACAAGGATGACGTCGCAAACATTGGCAAGGATGGAGAGTGCGACCAACAAGACAAAAACATACAACAGAAGGGATTCGCTGGTGGTCACCCACCCAACTACTAACCTCCCGGCGTGTGGCTTAAGTACGGCTGAGCGGACGGGAAGCCCTGTTTTCCACACCCTGTGGTCGTATGTGCTGGTACAAATCATGGGGAAATATATGTAGCCCGTGTGCAACGAGCTTGCCAGAGCCAGTCGCCTCCAGAGCGGATAATAAAGTATCAAGGAAGGGAGGGTATTTATCTAAATCATAAAAGTAGTATTGAATCTACCAGAGAAAAATCAGGTCATCAAGGCCAGGACACGCCCCAGCCATCACCCATCACTGAAACTGGGCTCCAGGAGGCGGGATCCAAAGCGGGTTCCGGCGGCACCGGTACTTGAACTGCGTCAAGAGGTGCGTGATCTCAGCGGATTCCAGCGCAACACTGTACGCGTGATCTTGCCAGCGGCTATTGACGGGGGTGTGCAGGGCCAAGGGGTCGGCGGACAGGCGCTTCGGCTCACAGTCGCGGTTCATGGCGTAGAGCCGACACTGACGGTTGATGAGCACTATGCCCTTGAAATCCAGGGTCCGCCCCGCCGAGGCCGGGGCCAGACTCTGGAGGTGCAAGAAGCGCTTGCGCCCCGCCCAGGGCTCCTCCGGCACCCCCGGACGGGTTCCCCCCAACATGGTGAAGAATACTCCGGAGCTGGGGGTCGAGATCTCAACGAACTCGTTCAGGACCTGGTTCTCATCGTAAGTGTTGGTAGACCAGCCCCGGAGGTAGATGTATCCCTCCGCGTGCGGGAAGACCGAGTCCAGGATGGTCACCACTTGGTCGAACAGGGTGGGCAGTTGCGGCTGCGGCTGTGCCATGGCTACGGTTTTGATATAAGTGATAGATGAACTCAGAAACACTTGTTAGTCGCGTGCTTTGTGATGTCGATCAGGTGGTCTTGTCACAAAGGCGGATGGGGATGGTGAGACTTCCGTATAAAAATACGAGATGTGAGAGGTACTTATATAGCCTCGTGGGCATCAGAGAATCTCGGAGTCCACTGCATTCTGGCTCTTCGGCACACGGAACAATTCTGTTATGCTGAAAGAGCAATTGGAAGTCCCCGGCAGTTTGGCTATATAGGATGCAGTAGATTTCCATTAGCGTTTATATAGGGAGATTCCAGGGGATGTTTCATGAGATGCTGAGACATGAAAGCAGTGGAGAGGAATATGCCGCGGCCGACCTTGAATAAGATATGTACCATTACAGCAAGACTCGGCGTAACCGGAGACCATCAGAGGTGTATGGTGGGTGTCGGAGAAGAGTGGCATAACAAAGAATCCGGTTTATATTGCTTGCATGTGTGGTAGAAGCGAGTGTTATAGATTGAGGCAGCCATGGGAGGGGGAGAGAGGTTGGAAGGTCGCTTTTTTGATCCTCTGATACCTCCATACTAGCAGGGTGGATGAGGATGATGGACTGGGTTAGGGCTTAGATCTTGCCTCTTTCGCCGGTAGGACGGGTAGATTTAATTTCCACCTCATATAGTCATAGTCACTTTAGTTACTGCCCAGTTACAATATAACACCACATATCCACGTTCTGTATGCAAAAATATTTATATCCCCAACCCTCCCTCCAACCGCGAAAGCAACCTCACTTCCCCTCCGCATGCACGAAAGTCAGCCGCCCCGGTTTCTCATCCCCCTCCAACTCCTCCATGATCGCCCCTGCCCGCCTGCGCGCGATGAACCCCTTGGTCTGCGACCCCGGCACCAGCCAGGGTTCATGCTCGAACAGGGCCGTCATCTCCTCGAGGGGCCGCAGGGCGGTCTCGGGCAGCACCAGCCAGAAGAAGATGGCGTTCGTGAAGTTGCACACACAAAACACCACGTAGAAGCGCCACCCGCCGATATTGTCGATGGCGATGTCCGTGACCTGGCCGATCATCGTGTTGAAGGCGAACGAGGTCATGGTGGCGATGGAGACCCCCTTGGACCGGGTCTTGGTGTCGAAGATCTCGGCGCAGATGATCCACGTCAGGGGGCCGACGGTCGCGCTGTAGGAGAAGTTGTAGCACCACGTCATCACGATGAAGGCCCAGCTGGCGGAGGTGTTGTTGGAGACGCCGGGAGGAAATTTGGCGATGAGGATGGTGGGGATGACCTTTATGATGAGATTGTTAGCGCGGGTACTACTTCAATTTGTGTCTTCTTGTTTCTGTTGAGGTCGAGACAGTTGGTGGAAGGGGGCGCCTACAAAGAAGAGGCAATTGAACAGATTGCCAATGATCTGGGGCCACCGACGGCCCGTCTTGTCGATCATCATCATGCAGCAGAACTGAGCAATGATGGCGATGATGGAGCTGATGCCTTGATATTTGAGGGTGTCGTTGGCGGCGATGCCAATTTGCTCGAAGATGGTCGTGCTGAAGTACTGGATGGCGCTCACCCCCGTCATCTGGGCTGCGGCCTGGATCGAGCACGCCAGAAACAGGCGGCGGAAGCATGACGGGTCCGTGAAGAGCTCCTTGTAGGATTTGGCCTCGGCCTCGTGCTCTTGGGCGATCGAGACGGTGATCTGTTCGTACTCAGCCTGCACCCAGGCGTCGGAGGTGTCGCCTCGGGCGTGGAGGCGAGCCAGCGTCGCGAGGCCCTCGTCCAGTCGGCCATGATCGATCAGCCAGCGGGGCGATTCGGGGAACAGCAGGATGAGCGCGGCCAGAAAGACGGCCGGCACCATCTGGATCCCCAGGGAGACGCGCCATTGGCGGGAATCATCGTCCGCAAAGTTGATGAAGGTGCCCCAGGAGATCCACGACGCAACCAGGGAGCCCACCCCGAGCATCAGCTGTTGGAGGGATGTGATCCGGCCGCGGATGTTCGGATGGGCCAATTCCGCCTGGTAGATCGGGACAATCATGACCAAGATTCCGACTCTTCAACCCATGAAAGAAACCCATTCAGTCAGCTCACGCGCTTCCCTGGATCTCGGTAATATGCTCACCCCAGCCCTGCGACGGCTCGACCAGCGTACAGATAACTCAAGCTCTGCGCACCTGTCTGCAAGCCTCTGTTTCCGTTAGCCTCCTTGCAATAGTCCAACGCTGCTCAAAGATCGCGTACCCGCCCAGCAAAAAGATCAGGGCGCCAACGAAGATGGTCCATTTCCGGCCGGCATAGTCGCCCAGTGGACCGGCAAAATAGGCACCAAAGAAAGCGCCACCGGTGAAGACGGAGGTGACTGCTCCGCGTTTGGTCGCGTCGGCGTTAAAGGCATTGATAAGCGAGGGGCTGGTGAGTGCCTCGGCGATGACACCCAGATCATATCCGTACAGCACCGATCCCAGCGACGCAAAGACACACACCAGAAACTGATACCATTTGGGAGGGAGAGCCATGGTGAACCCGGGCCGTGCGGACAAAGAAAAAAGGACAACAGAAAAAAAAAGCTTGACTGTGCCACATTAAATTCCTCCCCGAGTGTCAAGCTTTATGCAAAAGTCTTGGTGGTGAGAAAAGAGGGGGAAGAGGAATCCCCCGCAGGAGTTTTTCCCTTTTGCTCTCTGATGCATCTTCGGGATGGCGCCTGAGCCGCCGGAGGTGGCGTGGTGTCGCTCACTCACACGCCAGCCTTCATGAACAAACGCCGCTGGCTTATCAGAGTTAAGTCAAGCCTTGCGGGTGGCTTTGTACAATAACTGCTTGGCCCTATGCCGGGGCCCCGGGATTTCAGACGCTCCCCCGCCGGAGTCTGTCACGGTCTGCTTGTGGGGTGGTTTGGGGGACTGAGTCATTTGACTGATAGGTTAGGAAGCGGCTTCGCTCATTTGCTTGTCATAATGGTGCTTGACACGTCCCTCCAGATTATGGGTTATGACATAGGCAAATCATAAATCTGCTCTGGATCCATTATGAGATCCGAACCTCCCCAGCTGTTGGCGAATTTTCCGGGAAAGGAAGGCCAGGATACGTGGTGAAGCAATTCTCATGACGCGGGGAGGCCCTATAATACATTTTCTAGCCAGCGACTCGAATAACACCTGGTATCATGATCAGTAAGACAACAAATCGTTCAAGGTGGGACACCAACCACCGTGACTGTGGCTGAAGATGGCGTGGCTTGGCCCTGTAGAGTATGAATACGTCAGCTGGAAGGCCGAATGCCGGGGCGGGCAGTGCCGGACTTAACTATGGATTTAATTAGGGCTGATTCGGCTGAAGCCGGAAAGGCCACGCGGCCTCCGCCATCCCACCCATTCGACCTCAATGAGTCTAGACTTCCAAACTGTGGACACAGAGTTAGTTCCGTCGGGGAAATCTACCCGGACAATCTGGTTGGCTCTATCCAAGAAAAAAGCGTTCTTTTTTTCATGGTACGCGGAACGCGCCCGCGCATACACACACAAACACACCCATCCACAATTTCACACTCAGGCACACCAACAAGATAGTGGTACGCGATCTTTGGGACGTCGAAGCAGTTTCGATTGGACTGGATACCCTGAATGACCTGGACAGGAGAAAAAAAACCCCCCCAAAAAAATAAATAAATATGAAAAAGAGGAAGGAAAAAACGGACGAATGAGTCAATTGAAAAAGTATGTATTCCAACTATGAGATCTATGGTATGGGTATCACATCTACCAGTACGACATAGATATAGCCTAGTTGGAGTGCTGCACGGGGGGTAACAGCGCGATCTTAGAGTCCAAACTGAATGTGAAGGAGTCGGAGGAAGAGGACTCCGACGAGGAGGAGCTGGATGCCGAGAAGGAAGACTCGGACGAAGAGGAAGACTCGTAAGAGGACGACGAAGAAGTGGCCGAAGAGGAGGCTGACGACGCTGACGACGACGTAGACGAGGCAGAAGAGGAAGAGGTAGAGGTGGAAGTGGAGGACGACGAGCTCGACACATAGACATTGCCCACGGAGTTGACGGCATCATCGGTGAACATGTAGTTATTGGCGCAGTAGAAGAAGGCGTAGCGTGTCACAGAGGACTGGGAATCGAGCCAGGAGACCGCCTCATCGAGGAAGCTCACGGTGGTGTCGGCGTCGGAGACACCGCTGGTGTCGGCGCTCAGGCCGAATTCGGTAAGCCAGACCTCGGAGATGTCGTAATCGGCGGCGGCCTCGATGGCTTCGTTGACAAAGGTCTTGAGTTCGTCGACCGAATCACCGTACCAGTGCACAGCGAGGGCGGAGATGTTGCAGCTGGAGCAGTCACTCATGAAGCTCTTGAACCAGTCCAGTCCCTCGCCGCTGCTAGTGGAAGAGGTCACGGCGGGACTGACTAGCTTGGCGCTGTTGGCGTAGGGGGTGATGTACTCCGCGTAGAGTTCCGCCGCGGTGGCAGCGGTCATGTCAGCCTGCGACGACATGTCGGGCTCGTTGAAGCCCAGGATGTACGAGCTGCCCGACGAGAGTGCGGTCTCCACCGCGTCGGTCCAGCCATCGACATAGTCAGAGCCGGAGCCCCAGAGCATAGGGACGTAATCCACGCCCGAGGGCATGTCGCCTCCCATAGAGCTGCCCCAGTTGTACGACCACGACACGGTACCAGCCTCGTCGTTGGTCAGGGTGCTCACCAGGGTAGCATCATTGTACGCAGCACCGCGCTTGCTGGTAGAGCGCTTCTGTAGGCTGGTCCTCCGAGTTTGAACCGGGAAGGCAACAGCTGAAGCAGCAAGCAGGCCAGCGGTCAGAGAATGGGCGAAAGAGGGCATCTTGCGGACAATGATTGGACAAGGCCAAAGGATTGAATGAATGGGTTCTCGGACGAGATTGGGAAAAGACTGTCTTGGGACAAGTGAATGACCTGACGCAGTAAAAGGAAAGACTGGGTGCACAGCACACGATTCGAACAAGGAATGAATGAATGATGAATTCAATTAACCAGGCGATGGAGATATTGGTGATGAAGTAGGGGAACGTGTGTTATATAGGCAAGCGAGCCCTAAGTTGGCAGGCAACCGCCGGTCCGCCCGGCATCGCGGCCATGGACGATGGTGCTTGAGTGGGCGCATGGCTGAGAATCTAGAATCGGTATACCAACTGCTGACAGCCCCGCTGCTGCGTAAGTCAATGATGGCCACCTATCCAAGCCCTAACCGCGAGTGTGGGGTGGTACTAGGTGTGGTCAGAGGACGCACTAGCCACTAGTCACTACTTAGGTACCATATACAGGCTGATGCCGTACTGACAGGCAGAGTACCCATTGGCTCGAATGTTGACGCCGGCTCGTTGAATCAATTTTAGCAGTCGACCGCAGCAGCCGGTGGATCCATGGCGACGTTGTTTTCATGGCTGTGGTGGGTCTGTCACTAGTCCGGAACTCTAGATCGGTCCAAGACTCCAAGCAAATGGACGGAAATATCTTCGGTGCGATAACGATTGGACTATTTTCAGGCATCAAAAACTAGGTTAGCCCCGACAAACATGAAACACATACGTAAGCCTTGCTGAAACACCAGGAGTCAATGCACCGGCCATGTGTTCCTGAAAGACTGAGTTACAACCTGCTGAAGTTGCGAGATGCTGCTGGAATATACCAATCAATTTGCCACAAGTCTGAACTTCTCCTCGCTTGTCGTAGCTTTGCAAATTGGTCAATCGCTCTACACTCCGTACTTTCAGTTTTTGATCTTTTTGAGAAGTCATGCGGTTTGTTCACCGCGACATAGCCGACCATCCTTAGACAGTAGTCCTCCCCACGAACTCTTCAAAAAATAGAACAAGTACTGTACAGTTCTGCCAGCTCTTTCACGTTCTTTGAGTCATACCACCCCTGCAAAGCCGTTGCAGTACTCGACTTCGACGATTGTACTTGCCAGACTCATCTGCCTTGTTGGGCAACTTGGTCCAGTGGGATTATCTTATGGTCTATACCCGTCCACCCAATATGAATCACGGCCGGCCAACTAAAAGACCACGAGCATCTGAGAGAATGCCCTAGGGTAGGCATACTCGACGACCAGGATTGGACTGTGCACAGCGCTCATCCTGCAATAGCCCAAATTTCGCCCGCAGACCTCGGTTGCCTTGCGCTTTTGCCACCGTCACATCGCAGGAGGAGAGAAATCTACATCCCCATGCCACCCCCTTTGCTCAGGCAGTGGGTAATCCGACCAGTAGGTATTCCTATCAGCTACGACTTCCACCTCTGGCATGTTCCGGGGAAACACGGTACCTGTACAGCACAGACGCTGCGATGCGCGTAATTAACGACACAACGGGCGGATCTAAAGGGAGACACCCACATCCGATCCGTCCGCAGCCGAATATAGTCTGATAAAGGGGTTCTGCCGGATGCTGGTCGGTTCAGCGATCAAGTATTGGCGTACGGGCTGGGCTATAGCAATAAGGGTGTGTATGCCGAGTTCGATGAGAATTGACTCCAGAATCTCGGGTCTACGCGCGCATGTTGGTGGGCTATGCTGTAAATCTGTGTCGGTGTCGATGTCGATGCCATGTTCTGTGTGGGTTCACACAGGGCTCATGGCGGTTTTTAATTCTCCAGTTCAGTTTGGTGTTGACAGGGATTGACCCTCGGTTGACATAACCCAAGCAGGAAATATATAACCACTGTCGGTCACACTCAGCAAACCATGGAACAATCTACATTCAAACTGCTAGCCTTACCGGAAGATTAGAAACCACCACATAAGTGTATGAGTCTAAGAAATATACAATAACATAGGTTGGTGCATGTATAATGTCCAGATTCATCTGTTTTGTAGCCCGACCATAAAGTGGATCTTGCCCGGTAAGCTCGATGAGAGCACAGAACATTACATGTAGTATATATTCATACAGATGGTTTCAGACATCACCCACATGGGCCTATGGCGCAATTGGTAGCGCGTACGACTCCAGATCGTAAGGTTGCCTGATCGAGCCGGGCTGGGCTCATTTCTTTTTTCTTTTTTCCTTTTAGTTTTTTTTTTTCTCGCCGCCCCCTTTTTCCTGATCCCCATGTTCATGTTGATTGGTCTAAACTGCGCAGCTGGCTCCCCTGTCGCCGTCGGAATCTACACCTCTTTCCGAAAGCTTTCGCTATGCTGTGAGCCCTTTGTGAAGTTGAATAAGCACTGGACTGTGCTTGGCTGTCTATCACTTTTCCCTTTCCATCTGACATCCTTCTCAAAAGAGACATTAGAGCGTCCTCACCGAGGACCAAATATATTCCAATAGGCATCACTTGCACAGCAGTAAACCGTAACCAGTCGACACCCTCCCGAGCACACCAGTGGACGAAGCCTGGACCGACCCTGCAAAAATTTGAATGCGACGATCGCGAGCCACCAGAACTGTAAATAGTATGAATATTGAGTCGCAAAATTACAACCATGACCACCCGCGCAGAGTCTGATAGTCATGAGCTGTTAAGAAAAGGCTCCCAGCTGTGAGAAGTGGATGTGTATTAAGATGTGTGTATTGTAGAATACGTGGAAGCTTGGCGCATATGATGAAGTCCGAGGAAATGTGACCGGAGGCATCTCACATCAGTCTTACAGAGACCCTTCCTGCATGGTCATTTACTCAGGGAAATCCCCTACGATCGGCTCGAATGGGGCCCCCGTGCAAATCACTCGAATCTCTGGTACAGGAAACAAATATGCTCACCCAGATTCAAGTAGATCTGACCCGATGGGGAGTTCCATATCCGAAGAGGCCTTTTCCACAGGAGCAGCAGTCAGTCGTACCTTCTGTATACATAGAGAGACTCCAACTCACATCAAATCTGGTCACCTTGAGCATCGGAAGACTTGATTTGTACAGTACAGATTCCAGTCTAAGTTCTACCTACGCAATCTTATTGTTACCCCCTTCTATCTTACTTCATCCTCGAATGAAAGCAAGGAACCGAGACAGAAAACCACAATCATGACAGGCGGCCCAGCCGCGACCCAGCCCGCAGCTTCTGCGTCCCATGCACCTAAAGATCGGTGGGAAGACTCTCCTGTTGACCGTGATGTTCTCAGGGCCCAGTACTGCACTCAACGATGCCTGCTGGGCCTGCAGCGCCGTGGTAAGCTGGACGAGCAGTGTCCCAACGTCGAACGGCACCGAGTCAACGGCAGCACCCACCATCCCACTACTGTGGAGGAGCTGGTGGAGCAGATCCAATTGGGACTGGATCACAACCTGGAGCGAGCGATGCCCATCGTCGGGCCCGGCTACGGACGCCCTGCCCGCCCTGGTGGCTCCGGCGCCCCCTTCAAGGTCGTCTCTCCCCGGTTCGGATACGCGGTGGTCGGAAAAGGAACCCTGTGTTGTATCTGGCCGCGCCTCGAACGGGAGGCGGATGTGTACACGCAAATTCTGATGGCAGCACAGGGGTCCGCGGTGCCCGTGTTCCTGGGCAAGATCAACCTGCAGCAGCCATATGAGCTAGAAGGCTTCGGACGGGTTCGCCACATGCTCCTGATGGGCTACGGGGGCGAGGAGATCGGGATGGTGACGACCGTGGATAAATGGGACAAGTACAATCATCAAGCCACATCCGCTCACGAGATCGAGGACCTCGGGGTTATGCACAAGGACCTGGCGCTTCGGAACGTGCTGTGGAATGCGGAGCTGGGACGGGCCATGATCATCGACTTCGAGGCGTGTGAACTCGTGCTGGACCGGATCGCCGAGCGGCCTGCGTGGGTGCCAGAGGAGCTGGCGAGTCGCCCGTCGCAACAAATGTCTTTGGGTAGGTTCTCAATCGAGTCTCGTGGGCACTGCAGATTCCACCAGGTGTGCTGCCATTATGACCCGGACGAGACTTGTCCCAATAGAAAGTATGGCTTACCACCATAGAACTTCGTCTCTGGGCGATCTGATTTCTATTCATTCAGGGTTGATAGATTAGTTTAGCCAGATTTCTTTCTTCATGTAATAGAATTCATGTCTGACACCAATGTCGAAGGGGAACTCTTCGAATGCTACACAGCCGTCTTTTAAAGTCCTATAGCAAGCGTCGTGGTGACGCGGCCCCGCAGTAATTCAGAATGCACAGACACCTCCGACATAAGCCATGCTTTCTTTATTTGACAGTCATTGGCTAGCATGGGGATGCTAAGCTCAATGGTGGTTAGCATGCTTATTCTCCACGCATGACAGTGGTGCTCGGATAAATCGGGTCAGCATGGGTCCCACCAGTTAGTGCAATAATTCGCGCATACATCCCATCTTCTCAGCCTTGCAAGAGATAGCATCTTCTTGAGACAGATATAGTCCGTTATTATGGATAAATAACGCATGCTACAGGTCTACGCCTTTGTTGGTTTGCTCCTCTTAAACCTTCTGTAGCTCAGGCCTACATGTTGCCCCGAGCTAGTGGGGTCGGGGTGGTGGTCATTTAGTAGGCGAACTGTGATAAGATAATTAAAATGCCTCACATATCATCCATTTTGCACTGGATCCAAGAGAAAGTTTATCCTAGAGTTCTCTTCAGGTACCTACCGGGGGATGATGAGGCAATTACCTGAGCAATACTGCGAGACGTCATGATTGAGACCAGTCTCCCGTAGGCAAGCCCTGCGATGAAACTCCAAGGTCAGCTTGTCGTGCACAGACAATATTAATTCACTCAGTCTGTCAAATGTCTACTGTATGGCATCGAATTCCACCGCAAGCGCCTCGAACCATTCAAGTATAAGTCCATGATGGCTTGCTGCTGGATTCGGATCAGATTCCATTCTTCGAGTCGAATTTTTTTCACACCCCTCATCTTCAGAAGGCCGCCAACATGATCCGAGTTATCCTAGCCTCCATTTCCTTCTTTCTCAGTCTCGGACAGACAGCAAATGTTCCTCTGCCTTCGAGCACCGGACCGTGCGATGTCACGCTCCAGGCAAGTGAACTAGTCGATCTGTCTCGAACCGATCCTTTTGACCCTAAAGGAGGAAAACGTGCTCTCATGATCACCACTTTTACCCCGGCAAATTGCGGAAGTGTACTTTCCACATCATACATCCCGAATGCCACAGCCAGGTATGAGGATGAGAGTTTACAGCCGTTTGGAATACCCTCAGGGACGTTCGAGTCGTTTCGGATCCAAACCCAAACCCAGCAGCAGCCACCGCCTTCCAGCCCTCAGGGAAATTACCCAGTCGTGCTGTTCTCACCAGCTCTGGAAACCTCAAGACTAGTGTACACATCGCTGCTCCAAGACCTTGCCAGCTACGGATTTGCCGTCATCTCCGTCGATCATCCGTACGATGCCAACATCGTGGAATACCCCGATGGCCGCACGGTGGTCGGAATCCTCGGGAACATCACTACAGATGCACAATACAGCTCAGCAATGAATGTCCGCGTTCAAGACATGAGATTCGTCCTGAATCAGACTCAGAACAGCACGACGCTCGGGGAAATCTTCCCATTGGGCCGGGAAAATTCCCAGCTACTCTCTCTGGATCGAGTTACGATCTTTGGCCATTCTCTAGGTGGAGCCACCGCCGCGCAGACCCTGCTGGTCGACTCTCGATTTGTCGGGGGCATCAACCTGGATGGGTCACTGTGGGGGTCTGTTGTGGACGAAGGACTATCGCGCCCGTTCCTGATGTTCGGGAATGCGAACCACACCCAGGCAACCGACGCCAGCTGGGCAGCGGTTTGGCCGCATCTGCGAGGATGGAAACTCGAACTCAAACTCGCAAAGTCGAAGCACTATACGTTCTCGGACTTTCCAGTGCTTGTCGATGCTCTGAATATCTCGGACGAGGCCAAGCAGATTGTCCAGGCCGGGTATATTGGGACTATAGGCGGGCTGCGGGCCAGGAACGCGATCGTTTCGTACATCACCGTCGCACTACGGTACTTCGTCTATGGGCGAACGTCAGACCTACTGAGCGGACCCTCGGCAGCTTTTCCTGAAGTGACTTTTGTGTCGTCTTGACTTTGGGGGTGGTTTTTGGAACGATCTGGCTGGCGGGAGAGGTGAGTTGCCAGCTAGCCCTTTGCTGTCGCTGTGGTTGAGGTTGATTAGGCAAGATCCTACCCTAAGCCTACTGCTCACGATATAGTGGCTAGAGCGCTCTAGCAGACAGACTTGTGTTACTAAACAACGATTCATTGTCAACAGCTCGTTGAATAACAATTTTAAACTTCCAGTACAAAGGATTTGCACAGGGAGATTTCTTCACTTAGACAATGCCTCCTTAAGGCTATAGTAACCACACAAAGAATCCGGACAACCAAAGATTGTCCGCGAAGACGAGTCTGCATAGTGTTCTTGTCCAACGTGGTCGTGGTGTTGAGAGGCCATTATCTCCATCAATCTTTGTCCATGACTAGCTTGTTTGTATCTCACCCCACTATACTGGAGCTGCATCTCACACAGCACACCCATCCCATCGATACCTCACGTATAAATACCCTCATCACCCTCTCACACCCACTCATCCTCCCCACCTCCACCAGGATCTTCAAAACTCAGGACCTGCACCAACAGCTTCTGTTTACTCACGGAGAGGAACCATCCACAATGGGAACCAACCGCACCCCTCCCTTCCACGGCACCTTCGACGGCGTGACGTTCACGCTCACGCGGCAACGGCACCCCGGCCTGGAGGGGGTGGTGATCGACTACGTGCACCTGGAGCGCGAGGGCCACGAATGGGTCTCACTGGCCGGGCGTCTGCTCCAGCAGCACTGGCGCTGGTACCCGCTGCGGCGGGGCGAGCGGCGCCGCGGGGCGGCCGTCATCTGCAGCGGCCGCGTGCGCCTGTACATCGACGAGCCCACCTTCGGCCTGCCGGTGGCACTCCCATTCTTCCACCTGAACGAGGCCGAGTGGGCCGCGGTCGATGGTATGGCCCCGCCCATGCCGGTGCTCCTCGCGCTCCAGGAGCATCTGATGAAGCCGGGGATGGGGCTGACTCAAGAACGAATGTAGGTTGGACTAACCCCTTACAAGGAGGTAGGTAGTAGAGGTGGAGATCTAAATGGAATCAAAGAATAGAAACAAAGAAAAATATCGTGAACCCCGGATACCGGGCGATTGATTCTAATTCGAGATCCGAATATGCAACTGCGCCAATTATGTCTGCTCCCAATCAAGAAAGTGTCAATTTTGTAGATCAATTGTCTCTTGAACCTTTTGGATATAAGCAAATTTCTGCCCCAAAAAGTCAAGGATCAAGACTTCGATACAAACTCCTCGAATTCGATGAGGGCCTTTACTAGTGTTGCAGCCACCGAAAGGGGTGGACTTGCCTTCCACTCTTTGCAGCGCTCCTCGAGGTACTGTACATGCAGCGCCATGTCCCAGCCGCACCATAGACGACTGCAGACGAGTGGACAATAAGCCCGAGCTGCTCCTTGGTGCACAGATCGTTGCAGGGAAGCTGAAGCACGTAGAGACGATACCTGCATAGCCCTGGGAGAATACTTAGTATGCTAACACGGTTCGATCGAATCCGGCCTAGTCTCGATCCTTATCCTTATCAATGTCCACATATTAAGGAGCGTCCTCTTCACGGGAACGACGGATCCCTTGAAAGATAAAGACTCACGGGGTGCATTAGGGTGGGGTCTTGGGAGGGGTTCCGATTCCATCAATGAGCAACCCGGCGTGTGCGTAAGGCACTCCTTTCCGCAGCGGTATTTTCGACCAAAGCCGGTGGTCGTCCCTGACATAGTGGGAGAAAGATAAGTCAAAGGAGCTATACCACAATAGTTTTGAGCTACATAGTTAGTTTTGCTAAATATTCTAGTACATACGACCACAGGGTGTGGAAAACAGGGCTTCCCGTCCGCTCAGCCGTACTTAAGCCACACGCCGGGAGGTTAGTAGTTGGGTGGGTGACCACCAGCGAATCCCTTCTGTTGTATGTTTTTGCTCGTTAATTTTTTTAACCGTCCGTTCAAGTGGCCATATCGATTGTATGTACTACGCTCCGCCTCCCATATGATGATTCTCCATGCAGGAACAACGATTGATCGCGCAATGTATGTACTGTTATCTTATCCTCCGTGCAGTGTATCTACGATCCTGTTAGTGGTCAAGATGTGATGGACCTGTCAGAGAGTCAGAGACAGACCACCAGGGTGGGTGGCGCATGGCAGGTCCCATCCGAGGTTTCGGCCCGCGTCAACGGCAAAACTCCCCACTATCGGACCCAATTGATAGTACTGTCACTGGTCAGCGACTTCAATCTCGTATTTCAGCCATCAAAGGAACAAAGAACCATCGGTTACTACAGTGTAACAGCGCAAGGTAAATTGAAGCCCCACTGCTTTTTTCCGTTGTGAGTGGCTCCTAGTATTCCCAAGGATCAACATTGTAGTTGGTTTGAATCCTTGTTCACTCCACACTTGGTAATAGTGTGTGTAACTGCCACCTAGCCCCCACCTGCAGGTGCATGTTAGAATCTAGAACCCGAGGTATGTCCATGTATTGATATCCTGATAGGGTACAAAACCTTCATAGACAGGCGTGGTCCTTTTAGGCCTACGTGCAAGTAACACAGCCGATGTAACCTGGCAGACAGCTAATTGTGGCTGCGTGATGTCTTCGTATGACATGCACCTGAACGATTACAAATCTGCAGGTGTCCATTGAAAAGTGGTGAGATTAGATAAGTAACTAAAACCATGACAAATGGCCACTAACTTAACTAAGACTAAATTGCTTCTTTAGCCATCCGGACTTCTCAGCCTCTTTCTTCTCAGCAACAACACCCATCATAACAGAGTCGCAACCTGTTTTCCAAATCAGAATCCCCTTCACTATGTCTTCAGCAAACCTCCCGGTGATTGTTATCGTTCCAGGTGCCTACGGCACACCCGAAGGGTTCGAGAAATTGCAACCGTACTTGAGCCAAGCCGGATACGCAACACACCCCGGATCATACCCCAGCTGCAATCCCTCGGATCCGGCCAACGTGTCCTCTGCCCAAGATTCTGCTTTCTTGCGCGACAATGTCTTACTCCCTCTTTTGGACGAACAAGGTAAAGATGTCGTCATCATCGCACACTCATACGGGGGTGTAGTTGCCGGCGGCGCAGCAAGAGGACTTGCAAAGGGAACGAGAAGAGCCCAGGGTCAAGCGACTGGCGTCATCGGCCTTATCTACGTGGTGGGCAATATCGCCCTTGAGGGAGAGTCGCTCTTGACTGCTGTAGGCGGCGCTTACCCTCCTTTTATCACGGCCGACAAGGTACGTACGATCTACCCAGAACAACCGCGATCATGACCATAGGCCATTGTATTGATACTTTTTTTTTTTTTTCCATTTTCACTCGCTCTCAGCCTTCGCAGGGACTTTCTCTCATCGAACCAGCAATGGATATTTTGTACAATGACTGCGACCGTGCCCTGGAGCCGGAATTGGCGAAGTTCATGCAGCCACACGCACTCCGAGCCTTTGTGACCCCCGCCACTGCCCCGGCCTGGGCGGAGAGTGCGTTCGATGGGAGGAGGGCGTATGTGCGTGCACTGGACGACTGCTGTAACCCTGTGTCGTTGCAGGATCTGTGGCTGGAGAAGTCCAAGGTCGAGTGGGAAGTGGTGGACTTTAAGACCGGACACATGCCATTTGTGAGCCAGCCTCAGGCTTTGGCGGAGCAGATCATCAAGTTCATTGATGAATTTATTGCAAAGTAAATGGTGACGAATTCGGTGCCCACAGCGTGGTGCAGAAATCCAAATACATATCGGCCAAGTTGTTGTGCTCGACAGATTGTTGCTACCAATTGACACATTTTTTTAGTCAAAAAACGAACGTGGTCAACTTGGAAAGCCTTTTGATAGGGATTAATCCAAGAGAAGTGACTTTCATGCGATCCGCCAGAATGGATGTGCCAATCTCCACGAATGCCTTCTACGGTCTGTAGCTGCCACGTCATTAGTAAATATTCAATCATAGGATTTGACATATTAGTATATCCTCACTTGGCAAGTAGAGAGCCGTGCTTCAACGTTGGTACTTTGTTTATACCGCACGCGCAATCGGCCATTCATATTCTGGGTGCCTCAGGTATCTGTGAGCGGATGCCTAACAGGCCACCAAGGCGCCTTTCACCCGCACGGTACCTGGTGATCGCTGCCACGGTTATGCGGTTGTATGTTTCGTCCCCCCTCTTCTGCCTTTTTGCTTTGTCAATCCCAGTGGAGGCTCGTCAGTGCAAAGGACATGGGATTGCTTTTGTGTCCATCCTTCGCGCAACAGACGCCGGAAGAGACGTAAACGACCGCAGTGAGAATGCTTGGTGAGGCTCCCAATTCTAGTGCAACACTATGCTGTCGCGGTAGCGTCTTTGATATAGGTGTGACGAGCCAAGTTTTCCGGAACCCTGTTTACTATAAGTGCAACGGTACCTTTCTCCGAGAAGAAGAACCCCCACCCTTTGGGGTATTCTTGATATAGAAGTGTATCCTCTATCACTGACTGGGCTTTCGGGGCCTCGGACATTCGGGATCTTGGCAATGGGAGTGAGGAAAGTGAGGCGGGGAGGCCAATACTTGGGGCATGACATCATAGTCCACTGGACCAGTGTCAATGATACCATAACCAAGTCTTAGTAGGGATATGGCTTGGGCAGGGGAGTAGGCCCAAGAAGTTGTGGGAGGATAAGGGAGCGTTTGACTAATTGGATGTCTGGCAGGCAGATGTCTTTGAAGTCATATCATTCGACCACGAAAAGAGACAGAATAGCTCAGGAATGGGGAGTCTCGGTACGACAGATCATATGAAATCGTCAATACTGCTTCCCTAGCTCCAGTAGATATAGTTGCATACGAGGACAAGGCGAAGGGTGCGGGACTTAGTCGCCGATCTCTCGGGATCGGCATCTCGGAGCCTCGGAACACCTCTCGATCGATCCATGACCGGGCTGTCGGGAGGAGACAACTAACCCTCTGGCATTCCTGGACGTGGATCATGACAGCACGACACCCAGCGGACTGCCGGTTGATATGCCGCTGTGGGGGTTGCAGGTGTCAGCCTCTTGAGTATATAAAGTACTTCGATCTCTGACCGTCAAGGGATACCAGCAAACCTTTCACACACAGCCAAAGAGCCCTGCCAACGAAAAACATCAGTAAAATGTTCTACCAACCCGGAGTCACCGAGCATGGACTACCACATGACCCCTTCAAGGTCTGAATGCACTCCCAAACGCAGTCACCGCACCTCACAGCCATTGACCCCAAGAAAAATCCAGGCCTGCGTCGTACCCCGCCCGATCGGCTGGATCTCCACCAAGAACAAGAAAGGCCAGTGCAACCTGGCGCCGTACTCGCAGTTCAACAACCTGACCTTCGACCCGCCCTACGTGATGTTCTCCTCCAACCAGACGGCCCAGGGGATCCGGAAGGACACGGTCATCAACGCCGAGGAGACGGGCACCTTCGTGTGGAACCTCGCCACCTGGGACCTGCGCGAGGCCGTCAACATCACCGCCGAGCAGACCCCCTACGGCACCGACGAGTTCGAGCTCTGCAAGATCACCAAGGAGCAGGCCACGTTGGTGGATGTCCCCATGATCAAGGAGTCCCCCGTCAAGTTTGAGTGCGAGTACCACACTACCGTCCGCCTGCCGGGCAACCCGCCCATGGGCACCGTCGACATCGTCATTGGGAAGGTGATCGGCGTGCACGTCGCGGACCGCGTGCTCACCGACGGCCTGCTCGACATCAAGAAGACGCAGCCCATCGCGCGCTGCGGCTACTACCAGTACACTGTGGTGAAAGACACCTTCGAAATGATCATCCCCAACATGTCGGCCGATGCGCTGTATGGGTTGGAGGGGAATGCGGCGAGGAATCGCAGCAAGAATGAGGCAAACAAGGCGGCAGCGGGTCAGGTGTCTGAATTTCCTGAGAAGGATTCTTGAGTGGGTGAAGGATATGGATGAGTGGTAGATCTGGTTGCATCTGAACCATTGATAAGTGTGAGACAGCAGACTCATTGTTGCACCCACTACCTTGCTGGGTGTTTGTACATAACTGTATTAAGAACTTACCAATGTAGTGAAATAGGAAAAAAAGGGGGAGGTTTTCTTTTTCTCTCTCTTTTGTTGTTTTACCCTGATTACTCGGGGTTACAACGATCCACCTCTTTGTCAACCAAGAAGAGAATGATTAAGAGAAAAGAGGTATTTGGGGATGTGGAAGGCGTACGCATATAGTGCTCAGTAGGTATCAAACTCAGAGTCATAGTCTTTGGCTTGTCTTCTGACTCCCAGGTTCTCCAACCAAGGAGTTTTGTCCGATTCGTGTGGAGAACAAAAAGCGGCAGTGCTGCGGATGCCATGTCAACCTCTTGCCAAAGGGAAGCCTTCGCGAAAGTGACCACAACAGGCCTCGGAAACGGGCCGATTGCAGACAAGGTACATACCCAAGTTTCAATTTCCGTGTTGGTATTTTTATGGGCCGTAAGGGCAGTAAGAGGATTCTCGACATACTGCTGTACACATTCAGAAGCGTAGGCATTTTGTGACATTTGTCTGATTTGGACTTGACCGACAGGCTTATTCTGTGTACAGTACAGTCTATCAAGAAGATAATTTACGCTTCAATGTGGATTGCTACCCGTGCCTACAAAAGAGTCATGGGGCAAAGCAAGCAGAGCTTGTGACTTCGCTTCGAAGTGCAGGCAAGAAAATCAAGGTAGTGAACTTGTGCAAAATGCGTTGAAGCAGATTATGCGATAATTCAAAAAAAACCACTTCAAAGACACAGACATTCACGTATTCAGGTGCAATCCATACTCAAACTGGAGTCGACTTCCGCTCGCCAGGCCTTGCTCTGCTGATTTCAGATCCATTCTTGCCGGAAGGGAGGATATACCTCGACCAAAGGGAAAGCGTTGAAGCTAATTCTCATTGCCAGCGGCTTCCCCATCGCGTTTCTCGGCGCCCTGATAGGCAGTGTAGTAGAAGCGCTTGTCGAGGGCCTCGTCCTCCGCCTCGCGCTTCTCGGGGGCCGTGTAGGCAGTGTAGTAGAAGCGCTTGTC